GACGCGTGTGAAAATTCCTCTTTAACTGTAGAAGATATACACTACTGACAGATTATTTAGAGGTAAATGTGAAAGGGGACAGGCTAATAATTCTTTAGACTAACTATAAAATAGGGGAATGCTTTACAGCTGACACTATGAGTATATCAACCCAGTAATTGGATGCACGTGTTAGTAGCAGTAAAAAGGCACTGTCCAGTTGTCCACTTTACATGGGAACCTACTTTGAATGTATTCTTTGATTTACTGTTGCAATTAGAACTGAATGTTCAAAGAAAGAACACGAGTGACCTAATTTAAAAGCAGAGTGTCTTTAAAGCCATTATTTAGCATGTGACCTAGCTCACTAACCATTTCTTTCCCTTGCAACTTCCATTTGTTGCACTGTACTCATGAAGTAGCAAAATTAGTTTTATTAATCCACTCAGCTAATGAATTCAGTTTTAATATCAATTCAGTGATTAAAATATAAGCCACTTTCTCCTCACTCCTCCCCTTGAATATTTTCATTTTCTTCATAAACACAGAGAGCTTTCCCAGGCTGACTTTTCAAAACTTCATGTAACAGTGTCTCCTGTCTCCTTTTTACTATGTTGCAACTAACAGAGACATTTTACAACAAATTGGCACTAGCAAAAAAAGCAATTAATACTGCTAGGAAAAGACCTTTCCAGTTAACAGAACTAATGGTTGCAAGTATCATTGACTACTTTTTTGTGTTAAAAGTATCTGAACAATGAAAGGCTGCAAGATATTAAAATATTGCATCAAAATAAGTTGTTGAAGCAAAAGAAGGAAAATTTGTTTGATAAGTACATAGTTAGACTAGCGGTACTAGTACACCTACCGACCAAGAAACATACATGTCCTCACATTAACTAAATGCATCCTCCATTTCTGATCTGATAATTTGGTTTTCATAGCCCAAAGCAAGCAAAGCTTACTTCTCCATGCAGTCTCATCGAGCTGACATTGGTTGGCAATGCTGATAAACATTCAAACTATTTGTGCTGTTCAAAGTGTCAAAGAGTTCATTAAATGACAAACCCCAGAATATTAGGATAAGGTAGTTCAGTGTCTTATGGTGACTGCAAGCAATGGTAGCAAGTGTTCAAAATGTGGAAGCTGAAATTTCAACTCTGCTATTTTGGGGAAGAAGGGACTGTAAGAGCTTGATTCAGGAAGCTCTTCAGAAAACTGAAAAAAACAAACAAAAACAGGCCATGAAGGAAACATTATAACAAATCCCAAGTTGACTGAATCATTTCTCTGCTTTGCTGCCACTATTCCTATCATCCCAAATATTAAGCTTAAGAATAAAAATACAATATTGTTTACAAAGATGTTTTTTCCCTATTTAGAACCTTCCTTCTACGATTATATTACTTGCTCAGAGGAAGTCAGGAATCCTCCACGAGAGGAGATGATGTCCTATGTTCATACAGGCACCTGCTATTTTTAACTTAAGACACACAGGTTAAGAAGATTTGCTCATAGAAGGGTTGTTCCTTTTCCAAAATGAAAGGCTCTGTGGAAGAAGACTCCCCTATCACAGGATCTGATCTGACTCCCATTTGAAGTGAAAGGGCACCTATTCACACACGCAGCTCAAAGACATCTGAAAGTCATCTTAAAATGCCTTATTTCAAAACAGAGGATCTTATCCTACAACTGAATGCATCCAAGATGTTTCAAAAGTGTAAGCATATTCTGTAGTGCTCACTCAGATAACGCCATCTTCAAGGGAAGCTTTGACCAAGCCACTACCTGAGAACCCTCCCATTAAAACAGCAGCATGGCATCTATAAGCCTGTATGCCCCTTGGTCTCATTTTTCTGAGGTTTTAAGAACAAACTTCCAATTGCCCCTAACTCTTCCTTTTTCACAAGTGACTATAAGTTAGATTTATGAAGACAAAAAGACTTCTTACAACTGTATATTTTGAACAGATTTATGACAGGGCTACAGCATCAACATGGAAGGTCCACAAGGCAGGAGTGCAGTAAGGGTAACAGGAGTGTGTCATGTAGACATTAAATAGTACAGTTCTTTCCACATTCATAAATCCTAAGTGCCTAAGGTTGTATACTGCTGGTTATAAAGTATGTAACCAAGTTCTGCAGGGGAACGGAAGAAAATACTTAAAGTGAGAAATCATCTCCATAAGAACATATACATTTCATATTAAGGAACCTAAGATTCAAATTACTTCACTAAGTACTATTTCCTATTTTAAGTCTTTTTAATCAGTAAAAAAATAAACCAGATCTCTATGGAGAGTAAAACAACAAAACACATACACCCACTAATCAGTCTTTAGAAAAATGGAGAAAAGTTCTCACATTTACAAACACCAGCTTGTGAAGAGTCTATAACCCCAAAACAGCTAGCTTAAAAAAATGTTCAGTAGTAAAAGAACACATTTTACCAAGTATTCTAATGTGGTTTGAGCTGTACATCTGAGGTTAATGTACCTATCAAGCTTTATGATTTTACTACACCTGAGGTATAATCAAAAAGCTATCAAACTGAGTATACTTAATCCAAACAATTTTAATACTATTTTAATGTATATAACCCAATATATAGTATAAATCTGTATTTATATGTCATGTATATATGCACACACTTAAAACCCTCAGTAAAGTTCAGCACTTCTAGCAATTAGAGTGGTTGTTTACAATATTTTAAGCTACAGAATGAGACTCAAAACTTTCTTGCTATTAGTCACTATGTTGCTAATCTGATCCCACACTAACTAAAACAAAACCAAATACGATCAGGGACTTCAGCAGAGCCTAAAGCTATGTATAAAACATAATCGCATACTCATGGGAAAAGCCTGGAATAGGTTAACTTGTGAGAAGTAGCTAGCTCTCCCAGTAAACACTCTTATTCTGCAATTGCAATGCCTTTGCACTGTTTGGATTAATCCACCGTGGATGCTCAGGCAGCCAATTAATAGCCTCTCAGCTGGTGTTAGCTCAAGCAAAGCTAAAAGGGCTTAATTAGCTTATACAGCTGAGGATCCATCCCCTTGTCCACCTACTTCGACCAGAGGTGACACCAGACAGTGGCTGTGCCGCCATCTACCGTAGGTTTTGCATAGCACTGCTTGGTCCAATGCCCGCAGGAATCGCTCCAGCAATTCTTCCCACTAATATCCAGGCTCAATGACACAGACTCCGCTCCCTAAATACGTACCTAATTATTGGCCTTTGCTGAGGCAAAACTCCTCCTACAGACTGCAGGTTAACATTGCATATTGGGTTACCATTCTTCAGCTACTAAGATCTGTCCTGTAAATTTGAAGTATGTGCTTCATAACACTTAACAATTGCCTTAAAAGTCAATTAAAAATAGCATAACACTCGAAAATATGTTCAAGTTTTCCTGAATCAGTTTATCATATATCATGTAGCCCAATGCATGCTGTTCATTAAACCTAAAGAGTTTCACTATCTTCAAGAAAGCTTTCTGGGTGCAAGTAAAGTCAGAATCTGCACACATGCAGTTTTTTCTCCAATTTTATATATGGCTTAAGCTCCTCTTGGTCAGCCCAGATCTCAAGTTATAGCAAAAGCTTCTCTAATTACTCTTTGGAGGTTTTTTTGGTTTTGTTTTCCCCCCACAAGTACTTAAGTCACCAGAAAGCAGTACAGCTGCATGCATGCAAATAGCCCTATCAAGAACAGGGACAAGGGACTTCATAGCTGTGGTGCTGAGGGATGAGCTAGTACCGAGTAGTTGCATTTTGAGGACAAAACTCCAGATGTAAGGAACAATAAAACAAAACCTAAGAAGTGTCCTACTTCTATCTAGGGACAGATATCCCCCATCTATGCCAAATGCTGCAAGTTCCCCCAGCCTTCTGACAGAGCAGTCAGAAGCCACCTCTGTTCCCATTACCCTATAGAGGTAGAGAAAGGCTGATGGAATAGTTCCAAGCAATCAAGTTGGAAAACATCTGCCAAAATAAACTTTAGTGCACTCAACACAGTATTTATAGAGCATATCTATGAATGCTACTTGAGCCATTTTAAAGGCCAGGGACTAAATTCTTTTTTCTGAATGTTTATTCTGACTTTCTCCAACTGTTCTTCTTACAGTGCTTAATTGGCAGCCAGCCATGAAAACTATTGTCTAATTACACAACATATCATGATCTTACAGCCCTACAGATAAGACTTTACTGCAGCATAAATGGATTTTAAATATTAGCATATGAGAAAAAGAAAGTTAGCCCCCAAATTAGAATATTTCAAAGAGAGTCTTGTGTGTCAATAGTCACTATTATTTGTTTAGGAAAGTGTGGTTTTGAAAGAGGAACATATATTAGAGATTAAATAGCCTTTAATGTTAAATAGGCTACAATTTAGTGGGCTGGTTGGCTAACCCTTTATGTATGGCAAAAATTTGTTTGCATGTAATTATATATTTTAGACTACCTTAATGATACAACATATTTGCATGGAATCAGTCCAGTCGGAGACTACAGCAGCATTCTGATTGCACAGCTACATGTGAGGTTATGAAAAGCATAGATTTTGTTAATCACTTGCAACATTTTGCTACGCAGACACCCTTGAAATTAAGGCAGAGTAAATATTTACTTAAATGGTCTCAGCCTATGTGCTTTTACAGAACACACAATTTCCCACTGCAAATTATGACTATTAAAGGAGAACATACAACTGTTTGACCTGTCTTCTGCTAGCAAGATCCTAATTGTTTTGTATTTAAAGATGTTGTACACTACATCTGACTTTGTGATGTAAGTGTGGTTAGCAAGTTGCAAGTTTTAAGACAACAAGAGTCTTTTCTGCACTGGACATAAACCTGAGGGATGGGATACAGCTATGGCTATAATGCTATAGTGCTATAATGGCACTGGTTTGCATTTCTATGAAAAAAATTACATTCTTCTTTCAGTAGATACTCTGCAGATGTGACAATAAGCATGACATCACCAAGAATGCAGATTCTCTTTCTGATGCACTGCCTGGAAAACTAGGAAAAAAATAAAATAAAACAAACCACACCCTATAGTTACAGGGGGTTGTTCTTGCACATAGACTGAAAGAGAAGAAAGATTTATATGTGCATTTCAGCGTATTCTACCTCTTCTTGGCAAGATCTCACAGAAGCTCATGCATGTGTACAACTTTACTCACTGAACAGTTCTGCTGGCTAGGTGGGACTGCTCAGATGAGTAGTTACTTCTCCGAATACACTGCTGTCTGATTGGGCCCCTTATAACCTTTTTGGCAGCGATATTCTACACAGAATGGCTTGGTGTTCTCAGAGATGCACACAAAGCTTTCAGAACCCCATTTTAGGGGAACGACACTACTGTCCTCCTCCACAAATAAAAGTAATCCAAGAAATACAGTGCTAGGATCTAGTTCCATGCAAATTCATCAAAGTCAAGCCTTCATCATAGCTCTGTTTTTCAAGAATTTGGCTTTCTATGAAATATAGAAAAGGAGGGGGTAAGATTCGGCTGCTTTGACATCTAAAGCTTTTACAAACATTAAGTGCATGATAAGGTATGAAGCTGCAAGGTAGAGCAAATGAAGTAGTGACAATATGATACAGCAGCCCTCTCCTCGCTGTTTGCAAGCCTATATTACGGGTATTTAATAGAAATGCAGTGGAATTAACAGCAATGTCTTTCATACAGCATGGCAACCTGCTGAAGTACTCCATACTTTACACACTGGCTAACAAGGGATCTACTTAAATTACTTTAAGTTGTTTTAATTTAACAGAAGATTTATCCCCAGGTTTATCTAGATTTATGTAAAACAGTCCAAGAACCAAAATGCAGTTCTCCACCAGTGAAGCAAGTTAGAGAGTTTCCTCCAACGCTTGTATAACAGAGCTTACTTTTTCAGCATGATCCTATAGTGGGATGCAGTCACTTAAATTACAATGCAATATATTGTGATTTACTACAGTTACTTCAATTTGAGATTGCACAGGCAGGAAAAGCAAAAAAGGGTACATTTCTAACACTGACAGCCAAAAATACATTACCAGAAGCATGCTATTACTAAAAGCCTAATTAGTACTACAGAAAAGCCTGAAACTACAGCCATATGACTTTTAATTTGAAATAATTTATTAAAAAAAAAAAAGAGACAATGAAATGCGTGTGAGGTCTGGGCAAATCCAGCCCCAGATGTTTACAATGGAGCGAGTAGTAAGTAGTATAGCAGCGGCGCCGCAATCCGGGAGCGGCACAGCGCTCACGCCAGGAACACAGCAGGCACGAGCATCGCCTTACCGCAGGCGGCTGCGCGGCCGCGCACTGGCTCCCAGCACCCGCCGAGCAAACACAAGCAAAATCCCAACCCGAAGGAAAACCCCCTTTTCTGGGCTCGAGGAGGGAGGAGCAGGCAGCTCTTGTGTGGCTCGGGGAGAATAGTGTGTGCGCGTGGGGGAAATCGATGCATTGTTTCAATATAGCGTTCTCGTCAAGGCACTTTAATGACAGGGGATAATGATTTTCAGATTCGGGAGACAATGCCCCCTCCCCATCCTTGCAAATCTTTCCAATTTGCTCTTCTGCCAGGCAAAGAAACAAACTGTGCTTGGCGAAGCCATTTGCAAAACAAATGTAACCAGAAAGATTTGCAGATACGGGCTGTCAGGCATCCCGGAGAAGCCGAGCCGAGCCCACCCCACCTCACTTCTGCCCCGCGCCCCCTCTCCGCCGAGGCGCCACCTTCCCCTTCCCTCCCCAGTGAGGGTATAGGGGTGTAGGGCGCTGCCGCGCCCGGGACGCTGGGGTGTGGGGGGCAG